GCATTCGAGAAATGTTCTACTATCAGTCAGTAACTGAAAAAAAAATTAGTAACAGCAGTGCTTTCTGTGATGTGATGACTGATGACAAACATCTGTTACAAGATTACAGTTTATCATCAGTGACTGTCAGACTTGTGTGGAAAATGTGACAATGCCAAATGTTTCAGCCAAACACGCAAAAGTCGCACGCCCACGCAAACTCTCATAGCTGTCACTCTGACATCTGTCAGCCAACAGCTGCGTTAGTTTTGATATTGTAACCAATAAATAACCACCAAAAAAAGGGACGAAAAAGGCCGTGCACCCTTTCCTGCAATTACTGATTATAACCTGTGAATAACCAATGACTCCTCAGCTGCAGGTACATATAGGCAGTCTTTATCTTTTATATTGCATAATCTTGCTTAATGGCTGTTCTCATTTAATTATTGCAACATCGAGTGTCTTTAATTGATATTTTGTTTCCAAATATGCAGAATGTCAATTTCAATTTTTGTTTGACCTGTCAACATTGCTAATTATGAGTTATAATATATATATAATAATATTATAATAACAATGAGTTCATCTTTTCCTTACTGGCTATCTGTGGTTTCTTTAATCCCACTTGCCATTTTTCTGCACTCACAAATCTTTAGTGCACAGTCCTTATCCTCAGTTTTCTCCTAAGGCTACATGCCCCTCCCTCAGCTTTCTTGGATTGTTTGTGGCACGCAGTTGCAAGTGGATTAATGTCCTTCAAACTTTTATGTCTGACATAAATGACAGATTGTGTCCTCTCTAGTGTTTTGATGTGTGTAAGAGGGGGCGCACACATGGACTGCTTTGAAGTCCGCAGAGCTTTTATCTTCCTCTGTTTAGATTGGCTAAAGTGTTAAGTGGAGTTCTCCTTCGGCTTGAAGGATGTAATGTCCTGCAGTGAGAGATTTACAGAAAGGGAAATTGCAAACTCTGTGTGCTCGTTTTGTGGCCTCTTTTTAATAAAAACTATTTATGCAAATGGAAAGTCTGGAGATGGAAAGCAAATTCAGACAAAATCAGATGTTTCCAAAGAGGCTGCCGTACTGAGTTGGCAGATGTTCTGTCGCTTCAGCGGGGACCCCATAAACAAAAGCTGTTGATGGCTCTTCGATGAGTGTGAGCTGCGCCAAAAGCTGCATTTCCTTGGAGCCATCTGGAAAATGGCTGACAATATGCTTGGCTGGAGCTGGCCGAGCACGGGAGAAAGAAAAAGTGAGGGCACTAATTAAAATGAATGCTTATGATCTAGTAAAGAGCAACAGAGCTTTTCAAAAAAAAAGCCTTCCCCATTATAATGAACTATTGATAGACAGCAGAGGTGTCAGGTCAAAATAAAAAACATTTAAAAACCTGCTATGTGTTCTCACTTTCATTGCATTTTTTCTGATGTTAACAGTTTATGAAGCAACGTAACCTCAAAAACTAAAATAAAATTCATCAGCTGTATGTACTGTAAGTTGATGATGATCTATAGCTCGTGTAGGATCGATGTCAACAGAACAGTAAAGATTTGACTTTAATAAACCTATTCAGGAACTCCCAATAAGCCCATCCTCAGAGAGTGCTTTATGAGGTTGGTAGCTTTTGCACTTATCCATCAAAAAGCAGTATTTGAGAAAGTCTCACTTTTGATACATCAGCAGATTCAGTCGTTTAATCTCATCATCAATAACCGAGCAAACCTTCACACACGCCAGCAGGATAATGATGAATAGTTCTCGGAAAGTTAACATTCCTGGAACTTTTGGTGAAAAGCATCCATAGAGATCGTATCAGTGCTCATTATCCTCACGTTGGATGGTTGTGATCCTGACCTGTACCACCCACAAGCCGTGTAGTGCTCTGAACCCTCCATGACCTGGTGGGCATATTAAAAGCCAGGCGGACATAAGACCTACCACGTTGTCCAACCCCACAGGACTACCGCCATGACAGACACCAGACAGACCAATAAGGTATCCAAGGAGTGTGTGCGCATGTGCGTGCATGTGTGTTTGCATTTCTTTCATCAACCATAGGAAGATCAGCAGTGTAAGTAGCAACTACAAAGCTGCGTGAAGATACAGCCGCCAGCTGCCTCCACTTTGAAAAGAGCGAGCGTGTCAAAACAGCACATGGCTGTGCCCTGCACTCTCACGGGTCATCTCCAGTGACAGGCTGGCTGTAGCACTGGCCCCTCTGTGCACCTCTGCACTTTTTGTGCTTTTTTTCTTAGCACTGGGAAACAGAATGGTCAATTTTTTGTTAAAACACACATTTGCAGGAACGTTTGAATTGCTCTAAGCGCAATAACAGTGCTCTGCAAAGTAGCTGCAGTAGACATAATGATCAGTCATTCTGGTGAACTTTAAATTGCACCCAATTTTTTGCTCATCACATGAACTACTCACATTAGTAGTATTTTCAGCTAGCACACTGTGAGTCAGCCAGCAGCTTTACCTTTGTGAACTCTTTTATTGAGCTTTCATATAATGGAACTGGTTGCAAGCACCTATCTGCTGCTATAACTTGCTGCCAATAAAGTCATGTATGTGTCGTTCTTAACACATAGCTTTATCTGTCGATTTGTGGAACTGCAGATTTTGTAATACCCCAAACATGTTTTAATGTCTGTTAGTATTCAGTAAAAAAGGGAATAAATACAAATTAAAAATGCTATTTCTGCATCCTGTTTCATGACGACAAGCCACAATAGATCTTTATTAAGCAACCTTGTGATGTCATGTGGTGCACTGTTGACATAAAATGTAATTGACTTCTAATTGTGTAGCACTAATGTTATGTCAAACCAGACCCTGGCCTCCTTTGTCCAGTGTGTAGGCCATTTGGCTGCAAAAAGGCACTTGGAAAGCCAGATAACAGGTGAATGGCCATGGCCTAATAGGCCATCTGTGGAAAACACATTGCAGTCAATTAAGAGTCCACTTCCTCCAGTTGTCATGGCCATTACACAGCCCCACCACGACAAGTGACTCTTCAGTGGCTTTTACTTTTCAACTACTCGCTCTTTTTCATTCACAATGTCCTCGAGCTGCCCAGTTCCTCAAAGAGAGACTTTTTTTTCTAGTTTTGTTGTCCACTATGCTTTTCTAGCTTCTTTTGAAATGCAATTTTTTTTTTACTTAGCAATATTATGTGACCCTGACAGTCAAATACAACCTCTTTCACAATCTCTTTTTCTCTCTTGCTGGCACATATTCTCTCTTCTAGATCATACATAAAAAGCAGAGCTCTTACCTCCCTTTGAGAGGACAGCCTTTAGAATCATTACATGTATCCAATGAGCTAATTTAAAAATCCTTGTCTGGAAATGTATTTACTGTTTTTCATACAGCCTTCCCAACACACACATACACACATGCACCTTTACAGGCAGCCAACTCTCCCACAATCCTGCATTTTTCACTATTTTCATGATGTAACTTTATAAAAGAAAGCATCAAACCTGCAGGTTTCAACAGCAACTTTCAGCAGTTTACAGCCGCATTAGCAAGTCTAATATGACACACCTCGAGTCACGCTACAGTGACATTTCCTTCGTCAGTTCATTTTTGTTTTTGAGTAACACTGACGCATGACAGTTGACGTGCAGAAAAAGCACTTCTGTAATGTGACAAAATCATATTGACGTTAATTCCTTTTACAAAAGGAATTTAATCAGCAATTGTGTTTGCAGGTGTGAGCTGAATACACACTATAAAACTCGACCGTCTTGTTGAACAGGAAGGGCAGATCGTGCGTGATAGTCAGTCAGCACTGAACCGTGTGTTGTTGTCATTTGCTCTAATGAACCAGTCAGTAAACGTCGCTTTCTTCAAAGGTTACTTGTAATCTTATTTCCACGTTCAGTTTTATTTCCAAAGAGCCTGGAGAGCTTGTTGTCATTGCGCAGCCTTAGATAATCCTTGGGTGTTGTGAAAGACGGATGCTGAAAAACAATGATTCACACCTCTTGTCAGCAGCGCAATAAAAGGCTTATCGCCCTTGTCTCACAGCTTGTTATATGACGCTGTCAAATTATGATTACTCTTACTGTGCACACACTGTTTACACCATTTCACGTTTGAGCTGTTGCACTACACAGACCTACAGCCAGCATTTAGGATATACATTGATTCAAAAAAGGTTTTGAATCAATGTATATCCTAGTCAGAGTCACACTTCCTTTACCAATTAGTTACTGTAAATGGTGAATCCTGAATCCACTGCTTGCCTTTTTTTTCTTTTGATACATTCTGTGCACATGTGCATTTGAATTAAACTAAGCATGATTAAAGTACCCTGTCAAGTAAATGAAGCAGACATAGTCATCAGCCATTCACATTAAATAATTTAGAAGTATATTCAGCAAGTGCAACTGTGAGTCAGCCTGTAACATGACTTTTTGAAACTCTGCCATTGAATTTTGCATTATGAATTCAGGTTGTAGCCGCGCAACAGTTTGGCAACCTGTCCAGGGTGTATCCTGCCTCCCAGATAGGCTCCAGCCTCCCACAACCCCGAATTGGATGAGAAGAAGACGGATGCATGGACAAGGTTGTATATCATAGCAGATTTGGCTCTGCAATTATTGGCACATGTTGGGGCGCTTAATACATCCTTGTGTACCTGAGTACTGTTGCTGACCATGTCCATCCCGTACTGGTTTCTTTAACAGCTGTGTGATGCTATCATGTTAACATGGGCCAAAATCTCAGAAATATTTCCAGCACCTTGTTGAATCTAGTCCACAAAGAATGAAGGTAGTTCTGAAGAAAAAAGGGTGTGCCTAGTGAAAAGCCTCGCTAAATATCACCAGTAGAATAAAAAACAGTAGCATAACGTGAAACAACACAACTTTACTTAGATGCAGGACTTGTTTACATTTAACCATAAACTGGATAACCCAAGAATGTGTGAATAGTATGGAATAATGTTCAAAAACATGACAAAAAGTCAATAGTTTGCATTATTTGGTATTAAAGGACACTGAACACAACTTCATTTGCAAGAGTTTTAATAATTTACTAAAAAAAAGAGTGTAAAAGTAACAGATCTCTCCCACCAAAGTGGATCTGTTTGATATTCAAAGTGATGACAGATGTAACAAATTTCTGCAAACTTGCCTTTGTACATTTGTGTATACTTACTTGGCAATTTAACCTCTTGGCTGTAATTAAATGAGTTTTGCACTGTATACTGTATATCAAAAAAAAAAAAAGCTCAAAGGGAAAAAAATACTTTGATATGAATTAAGTGAAAGTAAACCAACCAGCATTAAATGTACAATTTTAAGAAACTCCAAAAAGCACATCTGAAAAGTGTATATACAAACATGCTAGGAATCTAACAAAGAGCAGACTGAGGGAAGCTGGAGAGAGACGGGCCTTTCTAATGGTTTTCTTGACATCATTTAGGAGAGCCAATAAAGTAAAGCATCATTCGGAAATGTTTCATAATCTCGCAATACCGTGGATTTTATTGCCTATTTCAAGTTTTTGTTAGGAGAATAGGAACACTTTATAAATATACAGTTCATAGCGTATCTCCTGCGTGAATTTAATTTAACTTAAATAAAAAGTTAAAATGTTCAGCATCTGTAGAAAACAAAAAGAAACTAAAATGCATCTTTAATAAATGCTCAGACTGTGCCCATCCCCAGTAACATTAAGTGCCTGCTTGAAAGAGGTAATATATATTTATGTATGTACACACATATATATAGATATATATATATATGTATATATATATGTATATCAAATTCTATGACATGATATAATTTGTATAAATATGGCGTCTTTACAACTGCATTAAAATGACAAATTTTTATTTCAGATCCCAAGACGATTAATGGTCGAATGGGAACAAAAAGGCCTTGTTTAAGTTTCTCATTTTCTCGTTTTAAATATTAAAAATAAGTCTCGATTCTTTGTAAATGTATGCCATACATTATAAACAACACATGTTACTCAACTGTACAAATATTTTCCATCGTGTTCATATCTACAACACTTTGGAAGGTACGAGGGGGAAAAAAGTGCCATTATCAAATAGTCCCCCCTTCTGGAGCGAGTGGGAGTTGCTCCTCTCAGAGTGAAGGTAAAAGTTTCTGTAACCAACCAGCAACCGAGAGACACAAGGAGCTCAGTTCTATACAAAAAATGTAAAAACACCTTTGATGTAACAAAGACACGCGCTTGTGATCTCACGTCACTCTGCTGGTTGTAAAACACGCCATGTGGAGTCATGTGACCCTGCACAGAAGTCCCTTTTGACAGTTGAGGGTGTTTTAAAAAGAACCGTACGGAGCTTCTCTGTAAATGTCGTCCACAGATGCTTCAAAACACACAAAGAGATGCTGCCCATGTGGGATATAATGGTTTGTTTTTAGTTTTTTTCTTGGATAGGCATAGTTGGGATGGATCTGTCCGTGTTCCCCGAAATGTTCACAGACCCATTTCTGAAGGTACACCCTGCACTGGCTTTCCACTGCGTCGCAGCTGAGTGACGTTGCTGTTGAAAACATTTCGCTCTTCTTTTATTCGTTACATTCCAGGAATGGGATTGTCTGGCTTGTCCTGTCCTTTATTTGCCATCAATCCATGTCTACCTAATAGAACAGAGGAGCTCTGGTGCCCTCTGGTGGTCGGAAAGAGGTGTAGGCACAGGAGAAATTAAGCTAACCCTCGGCCCTTGACTGCTGTCCTGGAAGTCTCACAAAAGCTAAAGCATGTTTAGGATGGCATTGTACATCTGGACTAGTATGGCCAGGTGGACGGGCAGGCAGGATTGGCGATCTTGAGTGGCAGGGGTACACGTCAGCCAAGAGAGGGCATTGTACTGCTCCAGCACAAACCTATGAGTGGAAAATATACACAGTTTTATCAAGGCGCTAGGTGAAAACTGTTGAAGAGGAAAAAATGTAACTGCTGCTTTTTCTATGAGATCACATCTAATTCTGAACTCATTCTTCACACTGACAAAAATATGCAAACATCTGCATAATTATCAAGGTGATAATTATGAACTTTTCAAGAACTATAAGAAGAAGGCTTCATATTTTCAGGCTTTATGCAGCTTCCTTCATCTGAATTGTTGGTGCTAATATGAAACATATACATTTAGCACGCTTGTCAATTTCATTAGCATTTAATGCACATAATGAAGTTACCTGAGCACGTCAGAAGTGGTCTTTGAATCCAAGGGGTGTGGGGCCCTCTTAGTCTTCTCTGACACGTTCTCATCTGACTGTGTTATGGAGATATGGTGGTGGAGAGAGGCCTGCGGGCAAGAAACACAAAGCAGTTTAAAGTACTGAAGCTTGACTGCTTTCGAAGTTTACCTGAAGATTTTATAAACAGATCTATAAACAAATCAATAAATTTGAGGTTTGTGTCTCTCTGAGTTTCTCCCTCTGTCTCCAATCCTGAAAGCTTTACATTCATTCTCAGCCACACTTGCATTGTTGTGGGTACCTTGAGGAAAAGCGGACACTGTTTCTCAGCCTGCGGGCAAGAGGCCCAGAACCAGTGAGGAAGTCCGTTCGCCTGTGCAGTGGAGACGTAGTAGCCCAGAGCCAGCGGCTGCTGCTTTAGCTCCTCCGGGGGATTGTCCCTTGACAGCAAGCGCTCTCCCTGGCTCTGCAGACAGAGAGAATGCCAGCAAATAAATATTACCTTCATTGCAATCTGGGGTCATGACCTGTACAATTTATTCATCTGTCAACAGGCTATATTTCTGAGCATGTGCACTGACAGCTGTGGGCTGTCTTCCTTAAACAGAAATGCGTACGTTAGCATTTTATGACAGGCAACTCTTCATTTTTCAACCGAAATAAAACGGTTATGTGTAAACATAGCTCATTTACATTTTAAAATATACGACAGTCGCTCTTTTTCTTTTGTTACAGGGTGCCACTTGTTTCAAGCCTGTGCACCCTCTTTCCACTGAACCCTGACTCACCCTGGTGTGCTGGAAATGGGATCCCATTCCCATCCCAGATGGAGACCCAGGCGAGGGCACGGGAGAGGTGTTGGGTGAAGAGTGGAGGTTCAGCATTATGCCAATGCCAATGTCATTCTCCAGTTCATCAGGAAAGGGAAGATCAAACATGTCATCTGAGGAGAAAAAGTAAAGTAAATGCATGCTTTACTCATCAACAACAGCAACTATCTGTGGTCATTAAAAGCCTACTCAAAGCACACAGCAGCACATATCTGAAAACTATTTTCAATGTGACTTTCAAAGCACAAGGACGCCACCTGTTGGTACAAAAAAGCACCATCGTATTTATCCAACTGTTCAAGGTCTACTACTAAATAATCTTATTACTTTAGCATAACTGCTACCCTGGGTGGCGTTACCATTATTGTCTTCTGTCTGGTAGGAGCTGGACGCCAGCTGGGTAGTTGAAGAAGTTGGAAAGACTAGAATGTGTGTACAGGAAGCATCCTGAGGTGTGTTTAGCTGCGAGGTCTGCAAGTTCAAAGCAGTGCTGCGGCCAAACACAGAGCCCATGGTAACCGCATCTGGATCCGCATAAACAGAAACACACAAAAGGTGAGGGGAAAACTGTATTTATTAGCTATTGAACTAAAGTGGTCAGCACATGTTTAATTATTTATTATAGCTGAATACAAACATTTGTTTATGTACACTTTTTCTTATTTGCACACTGGTGCAAAAAAATTTCTGTTATTAATCTGTTACTCTGACTGTTGTGACGTCTGAACGCTCAAGTATGCGCTATTATTAGTGCCACAGCCATAAACATGACAGCTAAACTCATAATTTATTATGCTAAATGCTAAAGTGGGTGAGCTACTTACCAGGCATGACCACGAAGGAGCCCTGTGGCTCCAAGGCGACCAGGCAGGCGCTGAGGATTGTTGGAGAGTCAGCAGCTGAGATCCCACACATGCGGCACGCCTCCCTCAGCTGGCGTCCTATTGAGTGGAGGGAGTGCTCCCCAAGGAGTGAACTCCAGTCTAGTAAGAGAGATAAAGTAGGGGATATAGAGATGTAGCAAGAAAAGCCAAGGTTTTAAGAGAGAGCAAGTTATGAAATGTCTTTCCATTATAAAACGTGTGTCTATGTGTGTGCGTGTGTTTGTGCACCAGTCTATGACTACATCTGTAATCAGTACAGGTGGGTAACACGAAACTCTCCATTCAAAAGGTCAGAAAATTAAATTACGATAAAAGAATAAAAGAAGAGTTCGTCAGAGAAGTCTGCTGACTGAATGGCCCAGTTGTCTTTGCTTAAAGCCAGAAACTGAGCAAGTCCAGTGAGTCCCAGTGTCCTTTCAGTGGATTATATGGAGCTCAAAAAATTAAACACTTTTCATTCAGAGTATAGCATCGCATTAGTTAAACTTCTGGGATACTTATGTGGTTAAGTAGCAGAGGGGGTTGTTGATCAGTTTCAGCTGATTTGCTGTTAATGAAGTTAAGAACAGGCGCACTAGAGGGGCAACAATGAGACAATCCCTAAAACAGGAATGGTTTTACAGGAGAAGGCCTTTTTGGAGCCTCATCTTTTCTTTTTTTTCACTATTTTAGCATTAGGGTAGGGTCAGTGTCACAACTGGTGGCATGAGGTGATACGTGGACCCTACAGACTTCGCATAGGTACGCTAACTTCTCCAGTTGTGTCTCCCAACATAGTCCCAGGAGCATGGAGGAGATTCCGGGAGAAAGGAAGTTACTCTAGAAGATTTGGACAGGGTTGTAGAAGGTCCTTTACCCATCAGCAGTACTGGTATCTACTAATTTGTGCAAGGAGGAACAGGATTAGCAGTGCCAGAGCCAGAGCCCTACAGAATGACCTCCAGCAGACCATTGATATGAACGCCTCTGATCAAACAATCAGAAACAGACTTCCTGAGGATGGCCTGACGTTCTCTAGTGGGCCCGTGCTCACTTCCCCGTGGGGCATGATTGGCATTTCCCATAGAGTACCAGAACTGGCAGGTACACCACTGGCACCCTGTGCTTTCCAGAGAGAGCAGGTTTACCCTGAGCACATGTGACAGATGTGAAACATTGGGCTGACTACAACATCATTCAGCATGACCAGAGCTCAGTGATGTCCTGGTCCAGGCCTGGATTGTGGAGGCCTTGAACATCTTTTCATTCCTAACACATTGCCCAGTCCGTATCATTATAGATATTACAAATAGATATTTTCTCTCATTGAGATCTGATGTGTTTTCTAATGATCAATTTCATTTTTTCAGCACTGTAATATTGATAGATGTGCAGTATGAAGAGTAAAGGTCAGTTATACCCTAAATTAACCCTCAAGACTTTTTACTGCTATTTTGCAAGAAAAAACTATTCTACTGCACACTTCCTCTGCTTAAAACCTATCAGAAAGAACTGAAAATGAGTTGTGTCACTCACCTTTAAGCTCCCCGTGGCCTAGTCGGCCTAATCGACCAATAACAATCCTCCATGGCAGCGATGTCATCTGAATGATGCCAATGCACCACTCCCACAGCTTCTGTAGTCCCATCTTCCTAGCTGACGCCTTAGGACGGCGGGCTCTGAAGTGAGAAGAAATCATGAAAAAAGCTAGAAACCGCCATGTCACACCAAACGCTTTGACAGGACAGGCCTTTCACTGAAACCGTTTCTCACCTGTTCGGCACATCAATGTTGATGATACAAGTCTCTAAGAGCTCTCCTTGCTGGTCAGTGCAGGAAACAAGCAGCCAACGCTGGTCATGTGACAGGCAGTATCCTACAAAGAGCACGTTGTATTTGGGAGGCAGCTCTGCCCATATTTCTCCTGGTTCTGGCTGCTTGGGACGGCTTGGACCGAGCACAAATGGTGGAGTGTACAGCTGCAGTGGGCTGGGGTGCTACATTAAACAATTAGGATTTTATTAAAAAGGGAAGTTATGATATATACTACAGTTACTGAAACCAAACATATCATTGAACTGTCATGCTTACCTCTGGACTCTTAAGTACCGAACTGACAGTGGAAACTGGGCCAAAACCAGTCAAGGACTTGATATGTGTTTGCTGGGGTAGTAGACGCCTGCACTGAGAGTAACAAGAGAAGGCCAGGGAGCGCAGGTGTTGCAGGTACAAATGGCTCTCTCCGCTAGCTGGCTGGAGTAGATACTGGCACGGCACCACCTAAAATATAAATGACGCAAAGAAATGTTGAGGATGGCGATCAAAAGTGAATTCTGCTTCCTGCCTCGCAATTATTTTCTTACCTGTAGCACCAGTGCGGGTCTTGTTGTTTCAGGCAGTGTCTGCAGCATCTCTGTGTAGCAGCGGAGAAGCCCTAGCAGCCAAATGCTACTTGACTCTACCTCGTCACCTTCTTCCTCCTCCCCTCCATCGTTTCTCGCTCCGCTTGAGCTCAGGAAAGCGTCCACTATGTAAATAACAATAGCTGGTGGGTTGGCATGGCTGTCCACTGAGTCAGCCACAGTGGGGATGCCTATTCTAGACTGCTCGGAAGAGCTGAAAAAAGAGCAGAGGAAACAAGCTTCAGTGTAAATAAGCTGGAAGAACAGCTGAGATGTTAAAATCATTCTTAATCTTACAGTTCAGGGTTTTCTGCTGGTGTGTTGGCTGGTGGGGTGGAACTAGGAGGTCCTTTGGAGTCACTGGCTCCTCCTTGGATCTCTTCTGTCGGGCCTGCGGTTGCTCCAGTTGGGGCTGAAGCATTTACTGAACTGGCACCACCTGTAGTTTGTTCTCCTTGAGTGGAAGAAGAAGGCTGAGCTGAGGATGTGTTGTTCACAGGCGGCTGGGCTTTGGGAGGTAACAGAAGACTGCTGTCCAATGGCAGGGCAGAGAGCTGGGGGCCTGAAAGCGATAAAAAGAACACATGCCCATCTTTATTCACCTAAGATAAAGAAATATACAGATTCAAAAACAGAGCTAATGCGATCCAGTTCGTTTACTCTGTTCAGTGATTCTCACCAAGCTGCTGCTTGCAAGCATAAGCATAAAGTTTGAGTTTGTTGAGGTTGTCAGTGTGCTGCTGTCCAACCCAGGGTCCAGTCAACCACTGATCCACATCCAGCTCCTCCAGCTTTTCTTTCTCCACATCTTCTCCCACGCGCACGATGCCATCTCTGGACACCTTGGCCAGCGGACGGTGCTTCCCAAGACGGCATGTCTGGAATAGGAGTTGGGAAAAGGACATGAAAGTCTCAAAGTATGTACAAATGAGTTGAAATCGGACCGTGGCTCTTACTTGGAGTTCAATCTCCTACCTCATAAACTGCACTAAGCTCCAGAAAGAAGGATCGGGCAGCAGACAAAAGCGAGGGGCTGTTGGGACAAACCACCATATAAGCAACATCTCGTTGCCCACCGTAAGGTTCCAGCAACAACTTCTCCCAGAAAGGCAACGCCAGCGGGGACAGTGCCAAGAAGTCCCGCTCCCGGTCATAACCCAGCAGCACTGTAGGAATGGGCAGGGGCTCCGGAGACTCCTCTGAACCTAAGAAAGGAAAACATTATGACATCTTTAAGATATATATTATGGCACAAAATATACAGGTGAAATTCAACACAAAGCGCTAGCTGTTCACGTAAACACAAAGAATGCACTGACTCACCATAAGAACCTCTCCCGGCCATCTTATGAAACTGCTGCCAGGTGAGCGGACCCTGAACATGCTGGATGTTTTCCCAGGTCCGTCCTGTTCTCTTTTTCTGGATGGCATCCTGCAGGAAAGGCTGCAAAGACAGCAGCATACGCACCATATCCTGTGACGACAACATGCTCATATCCACCACTTTCGAGACACACACACATACACACACAGAAAGTGTACAGATGCACAGGCGTTAACAAGATTCTGAACACCAAAGAAACAAAGAAATACATAAAGAAATACAAAATACATCATAGATTACATATAAAAGCAGCCCAGCATGCATAATAAATATCTTAATTTAAGGGATTTATCATAATTATTTATCATATGAGTCCACTCTTTAGAAGCCAGATTACAATTCTTACCATTAGTGTGAGGCCAGGAGTGGAGAGCGGTACTTCTGACAACGGATAGATCTACTTTCCCTCCTGTGGGGTTATCCACATACTGAAGTCCCTGCTCCAAAGCATTGTAGCAGGCCGTACAGGCATCACTCCCATCTGCCCACTGCTTTTCAGACATCCAGCTCTGGAGCAGTGCCCCTTTGCGGCCGTGGCAGGAGCAGCTCAGGGGGAAATGAAGTGAAGCCAGAGAAGAAATTGGGTGGGAGCACTGTTCCTGTAAAAGGACCATGACCGCAGGAGAGGCAGGCGCTGCATCCTGCGGCCGCTTGGCCTTGGAGTCTCCCATAGTCGGGTCCCGTCTGGAAAGTGCTAACCTCCTCTCAGCTGCTCGCCCTACTTCGGAGGTTCGACCAAAAATGTCGAGCTCGTCCTCCAGGAAGAGGCCTGTTCCGAGGGCCAGTCGCCTGTTCACGATGGCGCTGAAGCCACACATGCAGCGATACTGATCTTCACCAGTGGAATCTGGGATATAAACCCCCACATCTGCTCCTTTGACATTCTGGTTGCAGGCACAAATACAGCAGCTGTCAAAGTTGCGATCCTTGAAGACACTGAGGACAGAGTCTGAGAGGAGGAGGATTGTGTACAGGCTGTGGGCCTCAGGCAGAGACGGGCCCGGCCGAGCTAGGGGCTCTACAGAGCTGAGAGGCAGGCTTGTCGAAGGGGTGGAAACTGGTGAGCTAAGCTCAGTACCATCCTGCTTTACTGAACCCTGTCCAGAGCTTGCAGTGTTAATACCCCGTGGTGTACGTGGAGTTCTTGGGGTGGGCACAGAGAAGCGTGGGGTGGCAGGAGATGGGAGGATGCCAGTAGTGGTACTGGTAGAGGCAGCAGCTCCACTCATCTGCACATAGTCCTGGTCAGCAAGGGGAACACTGGGAATATTTCTGGAAAAAGAATCGAAAAAACAAATAGTGAGACAAACAAGATTAGCGTTACTGTCTGGAAGCATCTCTTAAAGGTTGTGCAGTTTGTTCCAAACACAAAAGGAAATCCTCAAAACTAAGTGATATCGTGCTTAGAGCACTACAGTCTTTCCAGTGAGGCTAAAAAGTGCCCACAAGCCATCCTATCAGGAACTGCATGCTTAAAAAAACCTTTAAAATGAACTCATTAATTATCCTTGGTAGATTAAAATCCTTGCCGCCAGGGGGCAGCGTTTCACCAGTGTTGAGATGTTTTGGATGTGTGCTTTTCTTTAAACTACCCATTTTCCCCAGGCTCCCCCATCCCCACCCCCCGGCCATCATTGCAAATAAGAATGTGTTATTAATGACCAACCTGGGTAATTAAAGGTTACAGTGACAGGTACACGCTAAAACTACATGAAAGTAAAGCTGGGCCCTAATTCTCTCCAACACAGTAAACAGATGTTCTACACTTAAAGTCAAAACAGTTGTGTCTTTGCATTCTGTTGACAGCTTAATTTCAAAAGCTTTAAACTATTTTAAACAGTGATTTATAATTACAAGCAATGTCCAAACATAAAACTGTTCAAAAAGAGTTATAAAAATATGATCTTCTCGATCTATAAAGAAAAGGAAAATATTTAAATTAAGTGAATGTCTCTATTTAAAAACAAACAAACAAACAAAAAATTCATGATGTGATATTATAGTATATAGTATATCAGAAATCTGTTCACTATTTTTATTACAAATTATATCAGTAAGGAAGCTGACTAAATATTCACTGATAATTTATGGCAAAGGGGTGGGATTAAATAAGTGTATACTTCTTCCCACTCCCTTTCAACATATAAATTAATCAGAATGGTTTTTTGTATGTAATTTGTATAGTATTTTTTTTCTCTCTTATTTCTTTTCTAAATGTACTTGTATATTGTTCACATGTTGAAATAAAATTACCAACCAACCAACCAAGAGAAGCACAAGATGAAAGTTGTTTTACTCTCTAATGTGATAACTGATTACTCACATGTATCCATCCTTGGTGAAAGCAGAATTCTGGGGATGCATGACCGTGGGGAAATGTTCCATCTTGGGCAACAAGGACCAGGAAGGACGGTAATAACACTGTTCAGGAATCTTGAGTGGTGGAAGATTCTGGCTGGGTAGGCAGGCTAGTGGAGCAAACATGGAGGAGCCTATCAGCGGCTGGACAAAGAGAGGAATAAATGTTTGTTATTTACAAGTATAAAGACATGTTTCAATACGCTGAATAAGTGGTTAAAGAGCAGAAGTTGAGGAAAAGCTTCTTTCTACTGTAGGCGCAATTAGCCCTTGTGTGGTGTTCGTATTTTTGTTACTCAGCCAGTGTTCATGGGTCTGGTGGACCCGCTAGAGTTTTGGCTTTCCAAATTAACACTATCAAACAATTTTATGTTAAATTACTCAACAGATGTTTACTTCATCCCAATCACAAGACATATGAACAGCAAACATGGTTAATTTTTTCCCTTTACCTTTGTTAGATCACATTTATGAATTAATGTGCTTCTCGTTTTTCTTGTATATAAAATGTTATAAATAAATCAGTTATAATCAAGTGGAGTGAGTGGAAAGACACAACACATTTACACGTGAAAAAATAATTAATTGTTTAATTTTTCTTTTGAAAAAAACTGAACACGGGTCTCACAGACCTGAACACCATACAAGGGTTAAAAGGGCTATTTAGAAATCAGGCTTGCAAATAAATCAACTAAGACAGTATTTTTCCAGATTTTTGGAAAAAACAATTCAGTGGCCACATTATTGAATGTCTGTCCTCAGCATCATTAGCAGTCCCTGCCTTGAGTTTCAGAATTGTTGCTTATCTACTAATCACAGATTTTCAAATTATAAATACCTCCTGAAAATCACTGAAATTAATAAACCAGTGATTCCACAAAATTAATGCCTCCATCCAGTTCAGTTCTGCTTATCCAGTTCAGGGTCACAGGAGGCCAAAGTCTACAGTCATAAATCTATTTGCTAATTTTCTTGAAAAACATAAATAATTTCTTGAAAGAGCAGAGAACTGTGTTTTTTAGCAAACATCCCCTGTCTGTGGTACTCTGTTGACTATTTAAAGCAACAGGATGGCTTGGGGAAACTACCCATGTTCATATTAATATGTTTTTTAGAGCAAACAGAACAGTGACATTTTCTCAGCTTTAGCTGCGTAACTGATATGTTAGCAAGATATTCCTCAGTGATCTTCTGTTTGCATTAGGGACTGCATTAGGATTCTAAGAAACTGTTAAAAGCAGATGTTCTCCTTGAATTATTCACACGTTTAAACATTCAATAACATGTCATAAGAAGCAGGATTATGACAACCCTTATCTGCTTTAGATCACTATGTATGTCAACTCATCATGAAGTCATATTCACTCAAATCTAATATTTATGTATTTCAGTCTTCCTTCTCATATCGAAGCTGCTCTAACAATATGATTTGCTTGGAGTAACTTGCTTGTGTTGTTAAGAAGATGCACTCAGTACGGAGCAAATGCATTCATAATGCATATGATTAGCATTCTCTGCTCACCGAACCTGCAGTCAGTACAGCTCTCTAACATTAAAAGGTATTAGTGAAACACTTCCAGTGTGATATGAGCTAGCACCAAGTCAGCCAAGTCAGACATTTAAATAATAACAAGTAAAATGGACAATTTATCTTATTTCCATCCATCTGTGCACTTTTCTAAATTGATGCTTGCTGCAAAAAGCTAATGACATGTTTTCATACTAGGGATCAATTCAGAGTGTCAGATCTAACAATCTTAACTACCGCTTCTCCTCACCTTGATATCCTCCTGCCTGGGACTACCAATGTCATCCTCCACCTCCATCCTGTGTTCAGTCAGCTGGGTGGAGGCTGCTGCAGGAAGGTGGTCAGCTGGTCCAGTGGGCGCAGGGGGCTCTTGACTAGGGGTGTCCCGATAGGTCATGATGGGAGAGAAGGCTGGGTGCTGCTCTAGAGAAGGCGGGGTGGGAAACATCCGCTGGAGATCTGCTACTGCTGAAAAGAAAAAGAGATGGACAAGGAGACACAGAGAGAGCAGGGGGAGGTAAATAGATGGTGAGCGGAATAATAAACACCAAACTGAGGGAGCTTTTGAGATTTTAAAACTAGATACTCATCAGAGTGACTCACTTGATGGATAAGGTACTGCAACTCTTCCTTCTTTTCCAATAGGACGATCTTCTGTTGACACTGGTACCTTAGTTGAGTGCTGGTTTGGGTAAACAGTCTAAAAAGTATTACAGGGTAAGTTATGTGACTAAAAAATTTATTCTTTAAAATTCTTAAATCGTTAACTAAAATACTATTTATTTTCTAATATGATGTTTGGAGTTTTGTTTGTTGTTTGTTTGTTTGTTTCAATTTAAATCAAAATCGAAAATTACATAGTGTCTTACCACTGTTAACATTGTTACAAGAATATAGATAGAACATTATATTTTACCCCCGGGTCTTCATCGTCTTCATCAAGTATGTTGTCTAGATCAGAGATGTTGACCACTAGATCTATTTCTCTGGTCAGAGAGGGATTGGTTTTAGCAGCTCCGTCGTCCTGGCCTGATTCGTCTAAAACAACACAAAACATCGTTAGACTGAACAAAACTACTCATGTGTGACATGAATTGCTGTTTTGTAGAACATGTAAATTATGTTTATGTCTGTGATTAGGACCCCCACCTGATTTTGGAGCAGAGTTAAAAATGGACATAGCATCTTTTCCATCAGTTAACGCTCCATTGCTGGTGATTTCTTCTCCCTAGTGGAGGGATTCAAATAAAATGAGAACATTCGCAGGTTATGTTCAGCACAGATTCAATAAAATATGTCGAGAGCCTCACTTCATTATTATAATGTACGCTTTGTGCTACAAAATGCTTCATCCTAATAAAATGCCGCATTCTGTAGCAAAGAACACAAAGTATTAGCATTTTAGCATTTTCAGTATTAATTGGCAGTTTCTTCCTGTTAAAAGGGAGTTTATTCTTCCCACTGTCACCAAGTGCTTGTCATGTGATTGATGCGGTTTTCTCTGTATTATTGTAGAGTCTTTGTCTTATAATTTAAAGTACCTTGAGGCAACTGTTGCTGTGATTTGGTGCTATATGAATAAAACTTTATTGGATTGAATTAAATAGAACCTACTTTGGTATAGCTCAGACAAAATGATGGGTTAAAGTTTACTGTTCACTCTCCATTTAGCTTTTTTTGACTTGTCCACCCTACTAGTGGCTTATCCAAGTCTTTAGCTGCAAAATGCTCTGTTATGTTCACCCTCTGGCTCACGGTTGTTAAACTCATTTTACTACATGAGCTGCATATATTTAAATTTGAACTTAAGTAAAGTAGACTTCTAATAATGTATAAAGACTATAACCTATATACCTTTTTTTAGTGTTAGGAAGTGTTTCAGAAGTTCATTCTGGAAATGTTTGGATTTCATGAACTAGTTTTCTAAAACTGGTACACATTAGTGTTTCTAATTTGACCAGCCTTAATAAATTATACAGACATGTTATTGTAGCAGATCAGCAGGGTCAGAGAGTTACAGTTAAAGATATACATCTGTAAACTGAACTTACTAGTCTTAATTTAAAAAATATTTTAATTAAAAATTTTTCTTTCAATTCAAAGGAAATGCCCTTTTTTTCACTGTAGACCCATACTGAATAAAATAGCAAATTCTCTATTAATTCATTCTGTTGTTTTTTTTATGGTGGGTCTATTACTTATTTCGGTGTAGCATGGCAGGTCAGCAGTGAAGTCTATCGGTACGAAGGCTGTAAAAATGACGATGATTCAGATCTCTGGACCCTCAGTTTGGACTTTCATGATGTGATCAGTTTTTAAGCTTGAAAACCAGAGGAAAATTTACATTTATACTTTACGTCTTTGCAGTAGTCACATTTTGCAAAGTGGAATGGATGGCCTGATTTTGACCGCTGGGCTGTAACTTTGAAAGCCGTGACCTGGTTGATAACTATGTCTGCTGGTTGGGTGACTGGACAGATAAGATTGATAGCTTTATTTATTTTATGTTTTACTCTAAACAATTACCTGTTACAGCACGATTGATGGCAACTGCAAAACTAAATTAAACAACAAAGCTACTATGAGACCTCCTTGCATACAAGTGGTCATGCAATCCATAATTAATAGATAAATATTGATTTTAACCACGTTACATTTTCCCTGAATCCAGTTTTTTTGTTTGTATTTGTATTTTCAAACTGTGTGTTGTCCTACCTTGGCCTTCTTGCTGGGTTCTCGCCCTTGACCCTTTAATCTCTTGGAAGTGGAGAAAGTGTACTCAATGTCTCCTTCCTTAAAGTCATAGGGATCGTCCCCATTATCCCGAAGTGCCTCGACACCTGGCTGCTGGAACAGGCCCAAAGTTTGGATGTGTTGCCTCACTCTCTCCTCTGAGAGTTTAAATCTCTTGTGCGCCTGTGCGTATAGTCTAAAGGAGACAAAAAAACAAGGTTATTCTTCTGCGTTCTCATGTATAATACAAATGCACTAAATTCCCAGTATTTTCAGTATACTTCCAAATATTATTTCCCCAACACTGGTGCAACTCTCCTACCTTTTAAGCGAAGCTCCCTCGATGGTTGTGTCTGTTGTCACTTCCTCTAGTTTATCAATGGGGAGTTCAGAGGGTCTAAAGTCAGTCTTATCAGTCCTGGGAGTCCTGAAGCCTCTCCACCAGCCAGCACCACTCTCCCTCTGCCTCAGCAGAGCTGCATACACAGCTGTCTCGCTAGTAATCACCCCCAATCCTGAAGCGCCATCTTGACAGGCGGGCATATCCACAGGCCCATCCATAGCCTCTGGGTCTTGTACCCGGGGATGCGGGCTAAGAGTGGGTGGAAGTGGAGATACTGGTGAATGGAGAAGGGACTCGGGGGCTTTTCTGCCATTGGAGTGGGGCTTGGAATACTTGCAGGTTGGCAGAGTGGCCAGGGACTCTATGGGTGGATCCAGCGCCACGAGGCCACCGAGCTGGGGCCTCCTGGAGAGTCCTGTTCCAGAGGACTCTCCTGTGTGACAGACAGACGATGGTGGAAAGGAATAACAGCTGGCCTCTTGGACTGTTTGTCACCCTTTTCTGTCTTGTCACTGGTCTTGTGTTTGGGCAGGGAGGGAGTGTATAATGATGGGCCAGAAGACTGAGTGGGGTTGGCACTAGTTTGGGAGTTGGCAGTGGACGCAGTGGTCAGATTCGACTTCTGCTGCTTTAACCTGAAACAAAAATAAATAGCAATCTACTTAAAATTCTATGAAAATACTTCCAACTAAATTATATACCTGAAAAGTCTGTTTTTTAAACGCATCAGCATGAAAACAAGAACACCTGAATCTAACACATTTGGAACAGCTTGGGTGCAATTCTGGAGTACCTAGAGCAGCTGCAAGGTGCTCTCGCTCCCAGATCGTTGAAATCCCACGTGGTAACTCCATTTGGCACTTCCTTTCGAGGCGTTACTTCAGTTGACTGATTCGGTCTGCAGGGAACGAACAGATCCATGAGGGCGCCAGCTCAGCTGCATCACTGCACTTCAATTATAATCCGGCCAAAGTCAGGGAGTAAACTCCAGATTTACTTACACATGTTGAGGCTGGTTGAGATAGCACTCCCTCCAGGCCTGATGGACCACCTGACAAGTCAGCTTCTTCCCAGAATGCTTTGGGCTGATGCTGGTGATACTCATGCTGCTGTCTGGTGTGGGCACACTCGAGGCCGAGGTTACGAAGCCGCTGTCCGCTGAAAAAAAAAGAAAAAAACACTGTCAATGTAAAACTGTGTAGTTTTAACATTTCAGCATGTGTGTACAACGCTGCGGCATGTCTGTGTCCCTGTTACCGGAGCATGGCTGCTCTGGTGATGTTGGTGGCGTCAGTGGCACGCTGCAGTGGTTCAGCTCTTTGTTGAGGCCCTGAGCTGTGGGAACAGGTGGAGGCTGCTCCACTGGTAGGTCTCCTTGGGCAATTAGCACGAAAGCAGATGGGTAGGTCATTCTTACTCCACCTGAGAATACAAGAAAAGAGGATCTGCTGTTATAGGATACATTTAAACGCTGGCTTAATTTTTTAAATGGGCACCATTTCTAGATATTGCTAATAATTAACCTTACATAAATAAAGAGGCTGTATAATGTCTGGTGCTTTTCTGTTAATGTAATTACCCACTTTCGTACTCACCAGTCATGAAAACACAATCAAATCTAAAATCCGTTTGTACTCACTCCTTCAGTATTATTTCTGGCTTTCCTCTTTAGATGCAAAGCAGTTTTAATTGTAATCAGGTCAAACCAAAGCTGTGGAATCAGACTGATTAGAGTAACTGTTAGAGTAACTCCCCGGGGTTTTCTACCTCAACTTCACTTCACTATTCTTCCTTTCTGTCAGTCCTGCTCTCTCCTCCCCTGCCTTCCAGTCACTTCCTGACTTCTGCTCTTTGATAACTGACTGTAAGGATCATTGTAGTATAAGCACCTCATCCACTAATACCTCAGCTCAAACTGCCTGGGAGTCTACATGAGGACAGAGGGTAATTAACGTGATGCTGATCTCTTGGTGTTTGTTCTAGTTCCTTCTCATCTGAAAGAACTGCAGTCCTCTTTACTAAGTACTGCTTTTTGGTACTATTTTATGCAGGATATGAGTTTCATTGCAGACTGACTGCACAGCAAAAGTTTTTTTCCTTCTTTTTTTTTGCATTGATTAGGTGACCCTGAATCCTCCCTTAGTTATGCTACAATAGGCCCAGGGTGCTGGGGGTTCCCATAATGCACTCAGTGTTTCTTCTTCACTCACCTCTTTGACTCTCTATCTGTTTATACACCACTCTGCATTTAATCATTAGTTATTATTATTTTTTGGCTCTCTTCCACACCTTCAGCAGGCCTGTCTCCCTCACCTCACCCCCTAGACAGTCAGAGCAGATGGCTGCCCCTCCCTAAGCTTGGTTCTGCTGGAGGTTTCTTCCTGTTAAAAGGGAGTTTTTCCTTCCCACTGTTGCCAAGTGCTTGCTCACAGGGGGTCATCTAATTTGGGGGGTTTTCTCTATATACTATTGTAGCATCTTAGCCTTACAATAAAAAAGCACCTTGAGGTTAGTGTTGTTGTGATTTGGTGTTATATGAATAAAACTGTACTGAACTGAATTGCATACCATTTTAAATCCAATGTCTTTTTCACCACCATTGCTTTTCCATACCTACAACGACCTCCACCGCCACGTGACTGTTGCGATCGTAGGCCTGGCTTGTTTCCTCCTTTTCCTTCTCTCCACCTAGCTCTTTCTGCTGAAGTACCATGGGGTAGAAGTAGCTCCACTCCTCCATCAGCTTCCGCACTGCTGGATCACTCATCTTATAGGCCTGACCTGTAAGAGTGCCGCTCAGACCGTACGGACTCAGGATCACTGCATAGATAAATTAATAATGTAGAGAAAGAAACAAAGTTCACACATCAGTAGCTCTGAACCATTTTATTATTTTTTTCTGCATTGATTTTTATTTTCTTTGCACAGCAAACCTTTAGTGATAACTGCAATGCTGAAATACTTACTCTTGGTTTGTGCTATTTAAACTTCTACCACTGGTAGAATTGGACTTTTTACACATATAACCCACAAGAAGAAGCACCTAAAATATAAGATATTACTTTTAACGAAGCAATCTGAAAGTACAGTATGTAAAATACTTTGTAACCAACGGGATCCTCACTAGGCTATTTAACCTCTCCTCGACTGGTGCCACTGTTCCCACCTGTCTGAAGGCCTCCACTATCACTCCTATCCCCAGAGAACTAGTATAGACAGCCTCAATGACTACAGACCTATAGCCTTCACGTCTGTAGTCATGAAGTGTTTAGAGCAGATAATGTCTCAGCACATCAGAGACTGTCTACCCCCTGTCCTCAACCCCCACCAGTTTGCTTACAGAGCAAATCGGTCCATGGAGGATGGCATCACCATCACCCTTCACAGAGCGCTGAGCCATCTGGAGAACAGGAAGAGCTACATGAGGATGCTCTTTGTGGACTACAGCATCCTAACCAGCCGGCCTCAATTAGTCCGAAGCTGAACGTCCTTAAAAACAAAGAACTTATAATTGACTTCAGGAGGCACAGACAGGTCCACTCCAATCTGATTATAAAGGGAGAACAGGAATCTGTCTCCACCTTCAGGTTTCTGGGCACCCACATCTCTGCTGACACCAACGACCTGCTGAAGAAGGCCCAGCAGTAGCTGCACTTCTTCGGTGTCCTGAGGAAGAATAAGCCTGACCAGAAGCTGCTGCTGGTCTTTTACCACTCCTCAGTGGAGAGCGTGCACTCCTGCTGCCTGGGTGTTTTGGTACACAGGGGCTACAACAATGAAGGGTGCTCATACAGTGATTAACACAGCCCAAAAAGATCACTGGCTGCCCTCTGTCACCCCTGGAGGCCCTCGCCAGATCCTCTTCCCTCAGGAAAACCAGGGCCATCACAGGTGACAGCATGAACCCCACTCACCACCTGTTTGACCTGCTGCCCTCAGGGCAATCAGGTCCCACACCTCCAGACCCTAACCCTAACGCCCCAACCCTTCCACTGGGCCATTTGGACTGTTAACAAACACTGTTAACAAAGCCATGGTCTGAGTAGCCCCCATCACTCAGGCCACTCTATTCAGACCAATTCTTTCTTCTATTGTGTGCCTTTTATTGTTTTTGTATATAGGATATATATGTTTATATTTTATTCCAGCACAGTTGGACCACTGACAAGAAAGGGCTAATCTATTCTATTCTAATTACATAATGATTTGTACAATGCACAAAATAGTGTCACACTCACAAGACCAAAAATAACTATTATTTGTGCATCACAACAGATTTTGCTCATTCATCCAAGCAATAAGCAGTCATGTGTCTTTGTTATTACAACTGTGCGGTAATACTAAAAACACATGACTGAACCACACTGCTGGTCTGAATGATGTTTCATTATTATAAACAGCATGGGCACAATTGTTTATTCAGAAATAACTCTATGGGCTACCAGCAGTGATCACTTTTATTTCACTTAACTGTGGTTTCTTGAAAGCGAAAGCAAAAGCGTTCAAGATTCAAATGCTTCCTCTCTACCTGTTGCTGACTTGACAGCCACTGTCATCTCATTTTCCATTAAGGAAATTAAGAGACTTCCATTTTTACATAATAATAATCACACCTCTGTTGGATATATATCGAACATGAGGATTGCTTTGTTTTACATGCATAAGCACTAGAAGAAGAAGAAAAAAACGTCGGGTTTGTGGTGTTACCCTGTACTGGTGTGACGGAGGTCTGCGCGAGACGGATGTGGTGTTCTGTGATGTGGTACGCAGGCTGGTGCTGGGCAATCTCCACACTTGTGCACACGTTGCTCTCTCCGTGGAGGAAGAAGGAGAAGGAACACGACAGGTGTTCGCTGAGGAGAGACGACAGTGAAGATTCAGATGATGGAATCAGGGATGAGCGTAAACAGCGTAGAAATGTGGCGGCGCGCTCACTGAATGTGAGTACGTGTGTGTGAAGTGTGCTGACCACAGAGACATGGGAGCGAGTAAAGGTACACGGCCTGAACAAATAACAATGCAGTTCACGCTGTCCATTTTAATTCCATGTAAAATTTTCAGTGTAACACAATTCATTTTAAATCCAATTACATCATTACGTTACTTGAGACTGAATAAACCCAAAGATTGGATCTTGTAGAAAAAATGTTTAAAAAGTAAAACATGAAGTTGCCTTTTAGGCCACAGAATAACAAATGAGAGCATTTCTGCAAATAGCAATTTAGAGAGCAGCCTCAGAATGGATCTTGGTAAAAGCCTCGCTGAGCTCCACCTTCATTGATCATCTTCATCAGTTACCAGATATGCTCCTTATTGCAGGTATAAATCCTCATTTGCTTATGAGTGATTGTGGTGACTACATGTTTACATTATGCAGCGCTCTCTTTATTACACAGCCTGGGCATAGTTCATCATATTTTTCTTCTTTTTTTAATCACAGAGGATAATTGCTGGGGCCTTATTACAATCTATGTACCAGTGGGCGGGCTGGACATCATCACAAGTACCTCGACAGCTTCACTGATGTATATTTTTAATCTTTAAACTTCCTTGCTACCTTGGTTTATAGATATCAGACTGACAATAAAGTCAGCAGGTACTGTAATCTTCTTGCGATTACCCTGCTGCCTATGCAATATCCCTTCTGCCCCGAGGGAGCTTGACCTCCATTTGAGTCGTAATGGATCATCAAATTCAATAAAATGGCCAGCTCCACAGTCACTCATTTGGGCAGAGCTTAAAACGCAGTCTAGGGAGACGGCCTCCAGATGGCGCTGAATGCACCCTAAGACAGAGCAGGCCAATTTTTTTTCCGCTTCATAAACATTCCTGATGCTCCTGGAGAAAAAAAACACGCATACCCTCCTAACAGCAGGTGGTTTGAACACAGGTCTGCACAATCACAGGAGAAGAGCAGAGCTGAAGCACATGCATATGCATGCACTGGGCTGCGACAAACGGGCGCACAGGCGCATGTCACCTCCACACCTACAGGCGCTGCCCCACTGTCTCCCTCACGCACCCACAGACAGACAGACACACACAGTTCATCATCTCTGCAATTCACATCTCTGCAAGACATGACTCAAAATGATTTCAATGTCACTGTCCTCCAACCTTGGCCTCACTGCATCATCCCACCATATGAAGAGCTATATATAGCTGCATGGGGAAGTTCAGGCAAACAGCTGCAAGTCATGAATACCGCTCATGCACATACGCAAACAACTACAATTATCACTGAGGGATCTTTAGTGTCTCCACTCTTACATGCTTTGATTCTGAATGTGTTCACTCTTTCACATAGTTTCAGCACTTGGTTGGATTAGTAAGTTTTTATTTATTTAAATATTTTATGGTCCATCAACTGTCTGATTGGCTGATTGACTCTTGATTGGTTAACTGTACACAGTCCTGCACAAATAAAATAAAGCTGTTGAAGGCTGTTTATTGCCCTCTTATGCTTGTAATTTATTTTATATCATTATTTATATATACACAAAAATATGACTCCCGTAAGGACTCTTATAGACAGCCGAGACCTAATAGCAGGGAATCACTGTAGAGAAATATCTCTCTTTAACTATCCGTCTGTAACTCAGACATTGATCCAGCATAATTAAGGGCTGGATCCTTCTGATATCTCAGCTCAATTTACTGTGCACTGATACCGTCTTGTTCACAATGGGGCAGCCGAGTAAGTGCACTCGAAAAAAGTGAAAACGTTGCAGGGAGACGAGGAAATATTTGCTTGTGCAAAACATGCCGACCGATAAAGCAATCAATGAAGCCAATAACTAGTGCGCAACAATTGCAACAAAGGAACTCTCGCAACGGCAATAAATATGCGATCATATGCAAGTCAGGGAAAAGCAGAACTACAGAAAGAGCATCAAGCTGTAGGGCTGACGCAGCTGGGAGATTGATGCTCCCTGTCCTTTTACAAAGGGCATTTTCCTGCACAGTAAGCGACTGTGAGTGTGTGTGGACGCACTGGGCTCCTTGCATCCTCTGGGGCATTTGTGCAGTCGGCAGGCATGTGTGTGCAAGAGAATGGGAGACAGAGATGCGAGGCAGCTCTCTGTGCTGGGCTGTATGAGTACAGGTATTAATAAATGAAGAGGAGTGATGGTTGAGACTTGCCTAAGGGCTGACAGTACAGGAGGAGAGACAGAGAGAGGAGACAGAGAGAGTGAGAAAGGGAAGGCTGAGAGTGGGATGAGAAGAAAGAAGCGGGAGCGTGAGGGGGAAGAAAAGGGAAGACAGAAGGAGAAGAAGATGGAGAGAGCGAATTAAAGCCGTGCATGGGTAAAATTGAGACAAAAGGGGGGGTGGGGGACGGAAGGATGGAGAGGAAATTAGGAAGACAAGGAAAAGAAAGATGGAGTTAAAATGAGGAGTGAGAGCAAAACAAGTGTGTGAGAGAAAGAGGAAGAAGTGAATAATTCAGCGCCACACTCTGCAATTGCTGCACACATATCGATGAGATCAGAGTTTTAATGGGTGGCTACTGAGCATACTTTTATGGTGAAATCAATCAGGAAATGTAGTCAGACAACACAAAGAGACATACCGCACACTGTTTGTGCGGTTTCATGTGCATGTTATGTGCCCACAATAAGAGGTAACGGTATAAATGTAGTTGAAGCGAATGTATTATGTATGTGCAAACAAGCAAATGCCTTATGCATGCAGAAAGTGGCATTAAATGCAAGCACAGCTAATGCAACAACGACAACATACGGTCTAAATGCTGCACGTGTGTTTGAAGGGATTGTGTTTTGGCTCGTGTGACAACGTGTGTCTTTTTACCCGATCACAACAGTACCAGCCAGCCAGCCAGCAGGGAAGCTGGTTAATGTCTGACATGCATCATGGACTTGACACAGACACACACACACACACATCTGTGCATATAATCACATGCACACAAAATAATAATGTTTATCTCGGTTGTTGGGCTGCTCTCATGTCTAACCCAGGAGACACAAAGATAAAGCAAGATTAGATTAAAGGAGATACAAAGCATTAAGCATTACAATCACAATGCGCAAGGCACACAAGGCTCCTGTTTCCACTGTTAGATGCACTCCCAAAGCCCATGATGTGATAACTATGTTTAGATATAATCAACTGTAGTTACATGCACAAAACACACATATCAGTATTTTTCTTAAGATTCTCTGAAATCTAGAGGGATTAATCTGCTTAATCTGCACTCATACTGTTTTGTCTGTTACCAGCAAAACTGAGAGTTAAACTAACGGTTACCCTGTTCCTTCTCACAGTCTAACCTTTCCCACACAGTTGCACGAGTGTACACATTCCTCTGGTGCACACAGGCCACTGTGGAGGATGTTTGCACTCCTGTGAGCTCTTGTTAGGAGCGTGTACACACACGCTCCGAAAGTCCTCTCACTGCTGAATTGCTGAAATTACGGCAAACAAATCTAACCAAGCCACCTACCATGCATAACGCATAACAGACTCAGACGTATGCTGCTGCATGTACAACACCACTATTAAAAGTAACATAGGGGCACATGTGGTAAGTTTGATGTATTATTCAACGGCCCCTGGTGAGTGGCCTTAGCTAGTGTTGCTATCACAATCTTTGTGTTCAAACAATCCTCAAATGAAAAGGTGTGATGTAGACAAAAAAAAGCACAAAGATTGATTGATTGTTTTGGGTGTTTTTTTTTTACAGAATCTCTGCAAACGCTCAATCCAATCATTACCAAGTGGCTAAAAAACTTCAATGTGAGCCAATACAGGCTTTTACTTCATATCTATGATCTAATTAAAAACAGAAGGAAGAGGTCTGGTTTTAGGTTGTTGCTCTGATGTATCACCATCCTCTCTATTGATCTGTATGTTTTTTTTCTCTCCTCCTTCTTGAACTCTCTCGCATGCTCTCTGTGGTTTCTCACCTGGTAATATAAGAAATCTGGGTTATTGCGCATCGCATGTTCTCTGCATTTTGTCCATAGGGAGGCTGAACACGCACGTGGAAAACGTTTCAAAAGGAGAAAATACAAACCTCTCAATAATCCAAATGATTAACAAGCCCTCTGATGACCACTGATGATCACTTAATTCTGGAAATGATACTATCAGTATCATTGTCTTGTGTTAAATTAATAATTTTATGGCTCACAGTGCATTTAGTCAACCAATGAGCCATTGTATAGACTTTTAGCTAGTTCATGAAAAGAAATAGAGACGGGAACATTAACATAAAGTAGTCAAAATTCATGACTGACTGCTGAAGTTTAAGCGATTAAGCTTTAATCGCTTTTGTTGTCAATTTTCACTACAAACAGTTGTTTCAGAGTCATTTGCAAGTCAGCCATTATTTTTCTCCAGTGCAATACTGTACCGTGTAGTAAAATATAATAATTTGGCTCTAAAATAAGTATGAAAATACAGCGGCTTAGAAACAGTTGCATGAACCTTTGAGTTTTTCCTGCATACAAAAAAATAAATAAATAAATAAACTCAAGCACTTTTCCTGTATTTTCCTGGTAAATAGACTCCAAAGCTACAGGAATACTGCTGTAATTATCATCTGAACAACAGCTCTGAACTTCCTGCTTCCACAGTCATGTGGTCTAGCTGCTAAATCTTCAACACTCATCTCGGTCAAAAACAAATACAATCAAAGCTTAGACTAAAATACGATTTGAAATTTTTCACTTCATTCACTTTTTTGTGCTCGCCCGCGCAGAAATGAGAAAAATCGACAGCAAATTATTGGATGAAATAAGTATGAAGGGAAAAAGTACCGAAAACTCCCAGCAGCTAAACTTTAAAGAGCCGATATAAACAAATTAAAATACAGTGATTTAATTTA